CGATCACACCGAACCCTCCGACCTCACCTACGGCCCAAAACCCCCAAACCCAAAAACCCCTAAACCCTAAACCCTAAACCCTAAACCCTGCATATAGCCTGTCAGCCCAAACCTCCCCGTAACAAAAACACTTCGGAACCTTTGGGATGCCGCCCTAAACCCTAAACCCTAAACCCTAAACCCTACACCCTACACCCTACACCCTAAACCCTAAACCCTAAACCCTAAACCCTAAACCCGAAACCTTCGGAGCCTTTGGGATGCCGCCAGCCGGGAAGTGCACGTGGATGTCTTCCCCCTTGAAAGGATCCCTGCGGAGGGGGTGGGGGTTTAGGGTTTAGGGTTTAGGGTTTAGGGTTTAGGGTTTAGGGTTTAGGGTTTAGGGTTTAGGGTTTAGGGTTTAGGGTTTAGGGTTTAGGGTTTAGGGTTTAGGGTTTAGGGTTTAGGTCCAAGAACTACGCCAGCACTGGGCCAAAGCTCCCCAGGAATGATATGTTTTGGGACTGTCCCAAGACGATGAGTGCCTCAAACCCTAAACCCTAAACCCTAAACCCTAAACCCTAAACCCTAAACCCTAAACTTAAACCGTAAACCGACCCTGGGACCTGCAGGGCAGCTCCTTCATTGGTTTAGGGCCTTTAGCGTCTATGCTTCGAAAGAACCCACACAACAACGCGACAGAACCCCAAAGCAACGTGGAAAAACCAACCTGGCATTGGAAAGAACCTTATTCCCTACAACTTGATGAAGTTTGGGGTATTTAGCGCAGGTTTTCTTAGGGCTGAGTGCGTTTCGCGTTTGTTGTTGGGTCTTTAGGGCTTGTGGAGGTTTATGGGGTCTAGGTAGGGTTGGCTGGTAAGATGGAGGTTCATAGGGTGCAGGACTTCAGATTTTGTAGGGATGTAGGGGGTGCGATTAGGTTCTGAGGGGCACTTGTGGCTCCAGCGGCACTTGGGGCTTCAATTCATGATGGCCTGTTATGTACTTTATCTTTAGGAGCATCCGGGGCTCGGTCCGGTGTTCGAAACTCCTTAGCCCCAAACCCTAAACCGCCCTCCCATGGGGCTCAAAAGCGATGGCTCGAGAATGCAGGGTTGAACGTTACACCCTAAACCTGAGAAGGCAACATTGTTGTTTTGCGCTTAAGGTTTAGGGTTTGGGGGTTGAAGTTTAGGGGGTTCGTGCGGCAGGTCCCTCTATGGGTCCTATATATACTACGGCAAAAATAGAGACCAATGGCCCAGCAACCCCGAACCCCAAGCCCTGAACCTCAAAACTGCTTGAGTTTTCTTCCGTGGCCACTGCAAACATCCGGCCGGAGTTCCTCCGGCTGGAACTTGGAGAGTGTGGGATGCTGGCAGCACAAATGATCGGCATGCCTCTCGAAAGGACTGTAGCCCTTCATTATGAAGATTGGTGGCTGAGGCCACCCGCTTAAACAGCCCAAGGTGTATTTAGGGCAGTGGCTACTTTGGGCCCAACCTTTCCTAAAGGGGTTTAGGGTTGAGGGACAGGGTTGACCATTTGTAGGGTTTAGAGTTTGCGTTGTGAGTTCTAGAAGCACGCGGGCCGAGACCCACCCTCTTTTTAAAGCCCAGTGCTGAGCACATCTTTGGTGTAACGTGGGCCTTCGTGACCTAAGGTACAGGCCGGGTCTCTGTGCAGGCTTCGCCGGGAGAACTTTCGATTTTTGGGGAAACCTGTGACGATAATGGGGTTTCAAACGCAGTTTAGGGCTTTATGGTTTAGGGTTAGGGGGGGGGGGGGGGAGTTTAGGGTTGCATGGTTCAAGCGTTGAGGGTTCATGGTTTGAGGGTTTGGGGGGTCATCAGGTCCATAACTTTCATTACTCATATCCCGAAAAGGACATCCAACATACCAGTGCTTATCAGAAACCATACATGCACTCACCAAGAACAGGAACACTAGGCCCAAGAGTAATCTAGGAATGATAATGGTGCCCTCTAAGGGAACCTAAATCCTAAACAAATGGAACAAGGCCCTAATCTGGGTCCTAAACCGACTTCTTATAAGGCTGAGGGTGCATGTGGGATTTTCGGGCATGAAGGGGTCCCGAGCCTAATCTCCGTAACTGCACACGATAAACGTAACAAAAAGAACGGCTCATAAAAGCCAACGGTCTAGGGCACAGGTTTAGGGTTTAGGGTTTCTCTACCCTAGACCCTAAACCCCTCATTTTTAAACCTTCAACCTCCAAAGACCCATGAATTGACTCCCGGCTGGCCCTACGTCACCCCGGCACGATCTCCCTCGCAAAGATTCAGTTGGCCGGGTCATTAACCGCGCCAAAGGGGGCATTTCTCCACCAGCAGTTCAACCCTGAAACTCCTAAACCCTAACCCTGAAACCTCTAAACCCTAAACCCTAGACCCTGAAACCCCTAAACCCCAAACCCTGAAGCCCCAAAGCCTTAGACCCTACAGGTTTTGGGGCTTTGTTCTCTGAACCGCATTTTGATGGCAAGTTCCTTCAAAAGCCTAAAGACCCTAAGCCCTACTACAAGCCCTGTAAGCCCCGAACGTCTGGGACTTGGGAGCCCTGTCGTCGGGACTCGTGAGCCCTATCGTCGGGAGCGTCTAGTCACCAGTCTACTCCTCCCTAAACCCTAAACCCTAAACCCTAAACCCTATGTTCAAGCAAATGAACGTGCAACACCCTTGAAGCTTCAGACAAGGAACCACAAGGAATGAGTGGTGCTCCAGAACTGGATCCTAAACCCTGAACCCTAAACCCTAATGAACCGATCCTCGATAGTACTCCAAAACCCAAGTCAACACAACAAAGCCTAACAAAGCCAACCCGGTATCTGTCGGATTTGCTGTGTCAGGTGACAGGTGCTCGGAAAAGCCCCATCGGCGCTCTGCGTCGTGCCCTTGTGGGCTGCGAATCCAGACTGAGACTGTCGCAACCCTAAACCCTTAACCCTAAACCCTAAACCCTAAACCCTAAAACTCCTCAGATGCACTCTTACTATACGGTCCTTAAGGGAAGGGAGGGGGGGGGGGGCTCATGCTTCATGTGGAGGTAGGTACCTTGTAAACCTTAGCTCGGGGAGTAGTGGGGAGTGTTAGGGAACCTTGGGCTACAAAACCCTAAACCCTAAACCCTAAACCCCAAACCCTAAACCCTAAACCCCCCTGGAAGCCCCCCCCTTCCTTAACGATTCTAGAATCTTACCCTCTATAGGGGAGGGGCGGAGCTGAGCCCTCAGCCCTAAGCTCCAGGTTTAGGGTTTAGGGTCTAGGGTCTAGGGTTTAGGGTTTAGGGTTTAGGGTTTGGGGTTTAGGGGTTAGGGGTTAGGGTTTAGGGGTTAGGGTGTAGGGTTTTGCAACCCTTCAGATGTCTGAGAAGTCTTCGAACTACCGTCCGTACAGGAAAGGGCCCTCAAGAGCCTCCAAAGCTGATCTGTATGTCTGCCGGGGCTCATGTTTTTGAAGGTTTTGGGCTTAAGGCGTAGGCTTTCGGACCTAGCATAGGTGTTGCAGCATCACCCTAGCCTACAAGTTGATGCTGCCTTTCTAACAGTCCGTGCACCTAACCCTAAACCCTAAACCCTAAACCCTAAACCCTAGACCCGAAACCCTAAACCCTAAACCCTTACAGAACATGCTTGAACTTCAAAGTCACCAGCCCAAGTATACCCTATGTAGGTACATGGACCCTGGTTTAGGGTTTAGGGTTTAGGGTTTTAGGGTTTAGGGTTTAGGGTTTAGGGTTTGCCCAAGTATTATACCCTATTTAGGTACATGGACCCTAAGCCTTATAAACCCTTCACCCTTGAACCCTTGAACCTCTAAACAACCCTAAACCCTAGCCCTAACCCCTATAAACCCTATAAACCCCATAAACCCTATAAACCCCATAAACCCTATAAACCCAATAAACCCTATAAACCCTATAAACCCTAAACCCTAATTAAACCCTAAACCTTAAACCCCAAACCTTAAACCCTAAGCCAAGGAAGGCAGGGTATCCGCATCACACCACCCGCGGGCTTCGCCGAGGCAATGGCGTGACCATCGGCCCAGCGCGGCGGGGCCTGAGCATGGGGTTTAGGGTTTAGGGTTTAGGGTTTGGGGTTTAGGGGTTCGAGCTTTTGGGGTTTAGGGCTTGGGGGGGGGTTAGGGGTATCGTGTTTCTTGGTTCAGGGCCTTACACCCGCAATGTCCGACAAAACCCGGATTCGGGTTGGGGGGGGCTCAGGGGTGGGTTGTTTGCCTAAGGAAGGGTTCGGTGCGGGAGTCAAGCACAAACAGCAAAGCAGAGTATCCAATACCCTCAGCTCAGGCATATTCCTAAGAGGGCTCCTTATATGGTTTAAGGAATATGCCTTAATTGAGGGGTATTGGAGTCTCTGAGTGCCCACTTCATCTCTCATCGCTTGGTAGAGATACGCATCGGGGAGCGTCCACATCGGGGGAATTGCACTTCGTGGGGCCATGTTCTATCCTTTGAACGGATTGTTTTACAATCACGCCGAAACCATCGGCGCCCGCCAGGCGGTTGTTTGGGTTTGGCCAGTAGGAACAGTATGCACCACCAGTATGACTTTTCTACTCTCTGCTTTAGAACTCCCCAAAAATCAAGAGATTCCTTAGAAGGGCAGACCACGCGAGGCCAGCGGAATTTTTCCTCTCACTGCACAGGCAAGGATCCTCCTGACAAGAAGTTACTGCCTCGAAAGTTCACACCAGGCTCCGCCGAAGTGTGGGATGGTGCTTTCAGTATAGGGTCCTTAAGGCAGGGGGGGGGTTCCATGGGGGGTGGGGATGTCCCCCACGAAGTCCGAACATCTTCCCCTCTACTCCCTAAAACTCCCTAAGCTTCCCGAACAAAAGTCCCTAGCCCCCCTCCCTTAAGGACCCTATAGTTTCCATGAATCTGGTCCCTTGGGTAAAATTTCCAGCCTGTCAATGGCACGTGTATATGCTCTGCAAGTCCTAGCTCTCTTCACCGCAGGAAATGGCCAAGGGCTCAATCTACGGTTCTCCTAGGGTTGAACTTGAATTCGGAAGACTCTTAAAATCCGTGCGCTTCTCGGGAGTAAGAGCGGTTGCTGCCTGGAGGACGTTGGTCCACCAGGTATCAACCTCCTCGAAAGGTAAGTCGAAGATGGTAGAAAAATCCGTGTCGGACTTGGCAAACTTAAAAACGACGCGGAGTCTCTCCGGCTGATGATGCCTCTCCAAACGAACGAGGACACGCGCAAGGAAGCCCAATCGGAGCTGCTTCCTGGGCTGAAGTCGTGCAACCTTGAACTCAAAGCCTGTAACACCAATATTCGAAACCAACGGACCTGAAACTTTTATGGGGGGTTTCCGGATTAGGGGTGCCCCATGTTGGAAACCTTATTATAAGGGACTCGTATTACTTTTTGGGGGGTTGAGATAGGGCCCCGAATTTTCATCAACCTCCTTATGGTTTGTAGAGGCCAGACCTGGACCTTGTCTTGCAAACGACAAAACCCAACAACTTTCATGGTTTACAAGGGTTTAGGGCTTAGGGTTTAGGGTTTAGGGGGGCCGAGCCAAGTCCTGTTTTTCTTCGAAATCTGTCACGGGCTTTTGGGCCTCCCCCCCTCCCCCGCCCCCTTGCCCCCCCCCCCCACTTCCCCCCCCCCGGAGTTAGGCACTGTAGGGAGACTCTGGGCTCTCTAGAGAGACTCTGGGGGCTGGGCACTCCGGGATTGGACTCCAGCAAAACTCTGAATTTGCACACTCCAAGAAAAACTCCAAGGCTAAGCACTCCGACACTGTGGGTTGGGCGCACGGCCGGGACACTCTGGGTTGAGCACTAGGGGGGACACTCTGGGTTGAGCACTCCGGGGGAGACTCTGGGGCTGGGATTGCGGAGGACACTCGGGGTTGGGCACTCCGGGAGACTCTGTGGTTGGAGACTCCAGGAAAATGGGGGGGGGAAATCAAAAAACTAAAGAAACACGCGCACACACACACACACACACCCACACACTTGAAACAGGCCAAGCTTCACGAAGTCCGTGTTCACTCCCTTGGGCAAGAATTGCGCGAAAGAATTCCCGAAGAGCAGAGTTATCACTCCTTGCAGCCAAGAACCTGAGAGCCAGTCGGGTGTAGGGTTTAGGGCTTTAGGGGTCTATAGGGTCTTTCGGGGTTCGGGGTTTTGGGGGTTTAGGGGAGTAGTGTTGTGGGTGTTTAGGGCTACAGGCTTTTAGGGCTTCAAGATCGCTAGCGGCTTTCACCACCACCACCCGCACCGTCCCCACCCTCTGCGCCACCGCATGCGTTGCTAAAGGAGGGAAAGGAACTATGCCGAAAATGCGTTGATAAATTGTATCACCCCTTCAATTATCCACCGATATTGGGGAGTCTAGCTAGGTTTGGAGGGTGGGTAATTAAAATTCAAGACCTGATGCTCGAGTTTCCAACTTTTCAGGTCACTCTGGTTCCTGACTCATGAAAATGAGACCCTCAACCTAGTTCATGGTTGGGATAATACTAAAAATATGTGTTTACTCCTTATTGGGTTTAAGTACCCTTAAGCATGTAAAATGTTACCCAACTATGGCAAAGAAATACCTTTTGGGGAATGAGGATGAGGATGTTCCAACTTTTGTGAATCTACTTTAGACATTTGGGTGGTTGTCAAAATTATGGTCCCTTTTTGGATCCCTATTATAATACGGCACCTACTATTTAGGGTACCCCAAAAGGGATCAGCATTTTGACAACCACCCATTTGGAAGGTGAAGTTCAACATGGGGGCCGGATCCAATTTCAAAAGCCAAGGTTCGAGCGGACAACTTGAACGGGTTTAGGGTTTAGGGTTTAGGGTTTAGGGTTTAGGGTTTAGGGTTTAGGGTCTAGGGTCTAGGGTTTAGGGTTTAGGGTTCCAATTTTGAAGTTCAAGATCATTGGAGTTGGATCCAGAATTCAAGGCTAAGTATTCGAGGAGATCTTGAATCTTGGATCTTCGATCCGGCCCCAATGTTGAACTTCAACATTCCAATGCTGAACTTCAACAGCCGCTCATTCCTAAACCACATCCAAAACCCTAAACTAACCCCCCTAAACCCTAAACCCTAAACCCTAAACCCTGAACCCTGAACCCTAAACCCTAAACCCTAAACCCTTAACCCTAAACCCCCCCCCCCCCCCGGCCCACTTAGCTCGGCGAGCTGCTGTGGCCGAAGAAGAGCCTCGACCGAACGGGCTCAACCCCTTCCACCTGCGCAGGGTTTAGTACCGGTTTAGGGTTTAGGGTTCGGGTTTAGGGTTTAGGGTTTAGGGTTTAGGGTTTAGGGTTTAGGGTTTAGGGTTTAGGGTTTAGGGTTTAGGGTTTAGGGTTTAGGGTTTAGGGTTTAGGGTTTAGGGTTTAGGGTTTAGGGTTTAGGGTTTAGTTACATGGTCCCTTAGTATGGGCCCAAGCCTTTAAGGACTGTACGGGACCACATGAAGGGGACCATGTTACTACCCTCAAAAGAAGGGTTGGAGTCCTTGGGCCCTATAGACTCTACCCTAAACCCTAAACCCTAAACCCTAAACCCTAAACCCTAAACCCTAAACCCTAAACCCTAGCTCAAGACCAGGCTTTAGGCATCAGTCTCCTCCTCCCTGCTCCCCGACCCACCCCTTTGTTCATGTTGTAGGGGCTCCGGGTTTAGGGTTTAGGGTTTAGGGTTTAGGGTTGGGCTTTTTTCAGGGCACAGGGCATAGAGGTCACAGCGTATAAGGTCTGGGTCTAGGCTTGAGGTTTAGGGCTTCTAGCAGGGTAGCACTAAAGCACGGTTATGCTGCCCGTAAGAGGAAGCACCTTTCGCTTCTGCACCCTGGACCCTTTAGGGTATAGGGTTTAGGGTTTAGGCTTTCTAAACCCCAAAACAGGCAGAGCCTAACGGAGAACTCATTCACCCTGGCCACAAAGTTTTAATCCAAACCCACCAAATCCTAGGCACCCCAAACTCAACACGACACAGGGCCTAGGGTTCAGGGCTTAGGGTTTAGGGTTTAGGGTGAACCTCTAGCCGCGACTCTATGGCATAGGGCTAAGGATTCAGACCTGTACAAATTGAGGGTTGTTGGCTTGAGGCGGGCAAGATGTCTTGCGCGCGTTCAGGTTGGATTTTAAGACAGAGGCACATGTCAAGCGTACATCCTAGAAACCCTAAACGCGCTGAAGCCCAAAGGCTCTGACAACCCTACAGCCCCACACCCCGAAACCCCATCATCGCCTACAACCCCCTCTAAACCCTAAACCTCCTAAACCCTAAATACTGAAACCCTAAACCCTAAACCCTAAACCCTACACCCTAAACCCTACACCCTAAACCCCCCAAACCCCCTACAACTCAAGCGTCGCAAAGCCGGGAGGCTGAGCTAAGGTGCCTTGGCTTATCCTGCCGGGTGCAGGGCTGAAGGTGGGTGACTCCGCCCTGTTCGTGAATCAGGCCCGAAGCTCCTAAACCCTAAGCCCTAAACCCTAAACCCTAAGCCCCAAACCCTAAACCCTAAGCCCTAAGCCCTAAACCCTAAACCTAAGCCCTAAGCCCTACCTTGAGTGTTCCATATACACGCCCAAAACCCTCGACAATCTACCCGAAGCCCTCTTGAACGGATACGTTCCACTAGAAGCCCCTAAAACCTGGGTTTGGGGTTTAGGAGGTAGGAACTTCGGGTTTAGGGTTTAGGGCGTGGCCAGGGTTGGGGTTGGGGTTCGAGTTTGGGGACCGGGTCCAAAGCTTGGGGTTTGGGGCACTTGGGATCTCGCTGCAAACTTGAACTCCACATAGTAATGCCAATAGAATTCAAGCGCCGACCCTAAACCCGAAAGCCCTAAACCCTGTAGAAACAAAGCCCTATTCCTTGGAGAGCCGAACGAGGGGAGGCATCGCTCCGAACCCCATGCCCAAAAAACCCTAAACCCTAAAGTCCCCACGAAACCCGAAAACCCGAAACCCCACAGTCGTGAGCCTCAAGAAGCACCATTGAACCCCTAAGCCTAAGGGTCCATGCACCTAAGAAGGGAATACTTGGGCCTTCAAGTACCTCCTATGTAGGGACTCTAGGGTCCAAGTACATAATGAGGTACCCGGACCCTTAGGGCGGGAGGGAGAGGGCGTAGTTGAACAATGACTACCTGGCATAGAGACTTACATGACAATAGCAAATCCCCAAATGCGTAAACAGCCTAAGAAGCCTAAACTCTAAACCCTACACCTTCAAGCCTCGTTCTGGTCCAAAGAGAGAAAGAGAGACAGAGACAAAGACAGAGACAGAGAAAAAAAAAACAACAAAAACACAATCCTCAACAAATCACTGAAAGACAATGAGCAAGCCTCGTGCTTACGCCCATGAGAACCCCCCCTGCAAAAACCCTAGTTAAGGGTAGCTAACCCTAAACCCTAAACCCTAAACCCTAAACCCTAAACCCTAAACCCTAAACCCTAAACCCTAAACCCTAAACCCTAAACCCTAAACCCTAAACCCTAAACCCTAAACCCTGAACCCGAACCCTGAACCCTGAACCCTAAACCCCAAACCCAAACCCCAAACCCCAACCCCTCAGCTGCAACCTCTAACCCCGCGCAGGTCCGTTTCCGCCATCTCGCGTGGGGACTCCGGCAACCCAGCCGCACGGCGGAGGTACCGCTGGAGTCGATTTAAGAAAAATACCTGCCAGGATGCGCCATGACAAGGTGCTCTTACAGGGGTTTAGGGTTGAAGGGCTGGGGGGTTGAGGATGCAAAATCATGGTATTTCCTTAATTATGGTTTTTGGGCAAACTTTGTTTTACAAACGTCGTGGGTCCAGGTAGAAGCCATGAGTACAGTTCGGGTGGGATGCAAGGAGTTCCACGCCAGACTATACAGGCCTCGAGGGGATTCAACTTCGAGGTTCAGGGATCCGGGTTTAGGTGTTTAGGGTTTAGGGGTTGTACCTGAAGGCTCCTATGTAGTTCCTATTTTGGGGTTAGCTATCGTGATGAGAGCATACTACCCTCAAGAGGTACTACAGTACATAGGAGCCGTTGGGTAGGGTACCCTAAACCCTAAACCCTAACCCTAAACCCTAAACCCTAACCCTAAACCCTAAACCCTAAACCCTAAACCCTAAACCCTAAGCCCTAAGCCCTAAACCCTATTAGTGCTTGATGCTTGCTCTTGTCCTCCCGCCTTGAACCCAGTGGTCCTCCCCGGCACGTTGTCAGCCGTCATCGTCGTTTCGACAGCTGCTACCACCTTGCCGCTTCTGCTTTGTTTCTATTTGTTTTTAGGGTTTAGGGTTTAGGGTTTAGGGTTTCAGGGTTTATTGTTTAGGGTTTGGGGGGGGGGGGGGGGGTGAACCCTGATGATAAACCCTAAAACGCACAACATGACAATCATGAGAGCTTCATATAGGGGCCTGAATAGTTGGAATAGGGTTTGGGGCCTTATTACAGTATCATCATACAGGGAACCTAGGGGAATGCGATTCGTCACCATTCCGACCCCTAGATTGTGCAATGCTTGCCAAGCTCTCGGCCACCAGCCTTGAACAACAAAACGATGCAACCTACTGAGCTCGAAGTATATCTCGGGATGTTCCCCCTGAAACTAACAGTCCTTAGTTTAGGGTTTAGGGTTTAGGGTTTAGGGTTTAGGGTTTAGGGTTTAGGGTTTAGGGTTTAGGGTTTAGGGTTTAGGGTTTAGGGTTTAGGGTTTAGGGTTTAGGGTTTAGGGTTTAGGGTTTAGGGTTTAGGGTTTAGGGATATCTTGGGATTAGAGTACCACCTATTATCCTCCCTATTCGAATCCCTATTAGGGACCGTTAGTATAAGGGGGAAGATGCCAAAGTATATCCTGGGTACCCGAACTTCCTGAGAGCCGTCCTCAACAAAGCGTCTTGAGACGCGGTTCAGGCTCCAGCAACAATAGGCGGGCGGCCAAACAAGGGGCCGCCCCTCCCACAAACACTCTGAAAGCCAATCCTCCTACCGCCACCTCCCAGGAATGGTCTTTCACTTCCAAAGCGACCCTAAAAGTTTCGGAGAAACCCCAAACACCCTGCAAAAAAAGAACCTGACCGAGAAACCCCAAAGACCCTGCAAAGCCCACCATCCTCAACCGGCCCGCAAGCCTACAAATCCAAATAACCATTCAACCCTCACACCTCCATAGAACCTCTCAACCCTGTATAAACCCTCAAGCCTAAACACCCCAACTAAACTCTGAACTCGACCCCAAACCCCAAACCAAAACCCGCGACCCTAAACCCTAACCCTGAACCCCAAACCCTAAACCTTAAACCCGAAACCACCTGAACCTTCGACTAAACCCTCGACGCTAAACCCTAAACCCTACACCCAAGGCCCCAAACCCTCGAGCCTAAACCCTAAATCCTGGACCCTAAGCCCTACATCCTCGAGCCTAAGCTCTAAGCCCCCTAAACCCTAAACTCGAAACCCCCTAAACCCTAAACCCTAAGCCCTAAACCCAAAGCCCTAAGCCTTAAACCCTAAACCCTAAACCCTACAACCCCAAACCCCCTAAACCCGACCTGGCAAAGGTGGTCAGAGAACTCAAAGGCCGACTGCATGGCCCGCGCACAGGGCTCGCTCCTGGGGGGTTTTGGAGTTTACGGTTTGGGGTTTAGGGTTTAGGGTTTGGGGTTTATGGTTCGGGGGTTTAGGGTTTAGGGATTTAGGGACTTGAGGCTTAAGGTGTGAGGTTTAGGGTGTGGGGTTTAGGGTTGCCGGCTTAGGGTTTCGGGGTTTCGGGTTTTCATTAGGGGTCTAGGGTTTTGCTCTTGGGGGTTTCAGGGTTTTTGGGTTTAGGGATCTAGGCTTTATTTAGGGTCTGGGAGGTTTTGGGGGTTTAGGGTTGAGGGGTTCAGGTTTTTTGGGTTGTATGGTTTAGGGTAGGGGCCTACCTAGCTATGGCTTTAGGGGACTCGGGGCTTACAGTTTAGGGTTTATGGTTTTGGGTTTAGGGTCTTGGGCCTAGAGTGTAGGGCCCCCTTACTATACTAACTGTAGCTAAGGGACTTATAACCTAACTTAGGGTCCTTATAACCCAATTTAGGGCCCTTATAACTCTACTTATAACTAGGGGGCCCCACCCTGTAGAGTGTAGGGTGTAGGGTTTAGCGTTTGGGGTTTATAGAGTACGATGGGAACTGCAGGTCCGCATGACAGTTCTGCGATTTGGGAATCTTGGGATCCCCTGGAATCTGCCACGTATCCCTAAACCCTAAACCCTAAACCCTAGACCCTAAACCCTAAACCCTAAACCGTAAACCCTAAACCCTAAACCCTAAACCCTAAACCCTAAACCCTAAACCCCAACCATATACATCCTAAAGCCTAATCCGCCCCTGAACAACTGGCGGCCAAGGATCAGCTTGTCTTTGTTGTGTGAGACATCGTAAACCAGATGGTCAAAAGCGTGGGGTACGGTGACAAACCTTGGTAGCCAAGTAGCCTCTTCAAAAAAGGGTACCCTCTCTTGGATGTTGGCTCGTTCATAAGGGAACCTAAACCCTAAACCCTAAACCCTAAACCCTAAACCCTAAACCCTACTAAACCCTAAACCCTAAGCCCTAAGCCCTAAGCCCTAAACCCTAAACCCTAAACCCTAAACCCTAAACCCCCCAAAGGGGCACTGCTGGGGCCCCCAAGAAACATGTCAAAGCTGGGCTCATCCATCAGGTCGCCAGCGACATCCTACGCGGGTGCAGGGTTGAGGCTTTCGATTTCGGACCGGAGTCCCCCCCCTAACAAGCTACTGTAAGGGTGTAGGGTTTAGGGTTTAGGGTTTAGGGTTTAGGGTTTAGGGTTTAGGGTTTAGGGTTCGGGGTTTAGGTTTTGGGGGTTTAGGGTTTTGGGTTTGGGGTTATGACTCTTGAACTGGGGCCAAAGGATGAAGGCACTGCCTCCCATAGTCGGCCAATAGCGCTTATACGAATCAAACTCTACATAGGGTTTAGGGTTTAGGGTTTAGGGTTTAGGGTTTAGGGTTTAGGATCCTAAACCCTAAACCCTCCGCCCTCAAAGAATTAAAAGACAAGGCTAACACTCCAGGCCTTGAGGGGCACTCTCTAGCCCTGAATTCCGTGTCGCACACAGTCACGCATCGTTGTGAGCTTTGGGCGGGAGTGGGCGGAAACCTCACTGCAACTGAGTTCCGTGGCCTAGACCCGCTACCTGCGATGTCTGGTTCAGAGCCCCCAAACCAGCAAACATCAAAATCGGCCACCGCTCCGCCTTCAGCTGAACTTTAGGGTTTAGGGTTAACCCTAAACCCTAAACCCGAAACCCTAAACCCAAGAGCTTCCGGTTGCCGAAGCCCTCAACCCCCTCGACCCTCTCCTTGTACCGCTCCTTCATCAAGGTCACTGTCTCCTTAGCCATGCCGGGAAGTTGTCAGTGAAGGGTTTAGGGTTTAGGGTTGGGTTTAAGGTCTAGGCCTAAACCCTAAACCCTAAACCCTAAACCCTAAACCCTAAACCCCAAACCCTAAACCCTAAACCCTAAACCCTAAACCCTAAACGGCCTACAGGGGTCTTTCATGGTATTCGGGTTTAGGGTTCAGGGTTTAGGGTTCAGGGGTGGTTGAACTGCTCGGCGACAGCAAACAAGTGCTTTTGCACTTGTAGACTAGTTAGAGGCTGAAAGTCAACATAGCAGGCACATATTGTGGCACGCGTTTCATGTCATCTATGTGAGAGTGGGATGTGCTGGCGGGTTCTTCTCATCTTGTTCTGGATATCCTTCTGAGAATGCACCATGCTTGATGCCCTCAGCCGTATATATGAGATAATTACGCAAAAAAACAGCGTACGGATCATAGCAGTTTAGCTGGGGAGTTACAACCCCGTGATTGACATCGAGGTCCTAGTGACGTCCATGGTTCACACGCAGGCTCCTTCAAAACCACAGCATTTCACGATTATTTTCCCCAAGGGTCAGCCCTGTCATTTCACAGGAGTAGTTCCATACTTGGAGGTTCATGGTACAGAGAAACCCAAGTATAGTTGCACTTATCACCCAACTATAACCCTATTAGGGTACTTAAGGGCTTATAAGTGGATTATAACTGCACTTCTACTTGCGTTATAAGTACACTGAACCTCCAAGTACCTTAATTTGGGCCCCTTGTTATACAACCCTTCTAGGGCTCTCAGGGTCTGGGATTACAGCATTTAAGGGTCTTCGGATCGCTCTAACCAAGGATAAGTGATCATGCTAAGCGCCCATGTTGGGATGTTCCTCCTTACACTAACAGGCCTTAATAGGGACTAGAGTACCTCCGAGTATAGTTCCTATGAAGGACTGTTCGTATAAGGGGGACATGCCAAGGCCCCATGGTTCCAACATTAGAACCACTCTTGTGGGTTTGGGGTTGAGGCCCTTCGGGAGTTGGCAGTGAGGTGCTTACATAGGTTGCTACAGAGAGCCAAATCAGGGATCAATGAGAATTTCGGCCCTAAACCCTAAACCCTAAACCCTGCACACCCCTAAACCCTAAACCCTAAAACCTAAACCCTAAACACCCCTTAGCCCTGGTGGATTGCAAAGGGTGTCAGAGTTTTAGGATTAGGCACATTCAGGACCTACAGCTCCAAATACTAAACCCGAAACTTGGGATGTTCCACCCCATACTGACAGTCCTTGACAGGGATGACAATAGGGGTACTACACTATAATCCCTACTGAGGACTGTTGGTATAAGGGGGAACCGCCCCACCCTAGGCCCTAAACCCTGAACCCTTCGGGCTCTCCCTAAACCCTAAACCCTGAACCCGAAACCCTAAACCCTAAACCCGAAACCCGAAACCCTAAACCCTAAACCCAATGCAACTGCAGAGTTCCCCCATGTAGAGCTCCACTGACTCCTGTTTGGTGAGCTCCTGAGGCTGGGGTTTGTGTGCAGAAACCTTGAGCGCCAAACCCTCTTCCCCAAGCCAAAACTCTAAAAACGCCCCCAACCCTAGACAAAACACCCTAGACAACTCCTACGTAACATATAATTACAAATATAAACCTTACTGGTATTCGTGGGCAAGGCCCAAACATTCGTGGGCAAGGGCAAGGCCCAAACATTCGTGTGGGCAAGGCCCAAACATTCGTGTGGGCAAGGCCCAAACATTCGCGGGCAAGGCCCAAAAATTCGTGGGCAAGGCCCAAAAATTCGTGGGCAAGGCCCAAACATTCGTGTGGGCAAGGCCCAAACATCCGTGGGCAAGGCCAAAACATTCGTGGGCAAGGCCCAAAAAATTTCGTGGGCAAGGCCCGGCCTTGAGCCCCTGAACCCTTGAGACCCTAAACCCTTGAGCCCCTAAGCCCTTGAGAGCCCCTAAACCCTTGAGACCCTAAAACCTTGAGAACCTGAACCCTTGAGGCCCTAAACCCTTGAGACCCTAAACCCTTGAGACCCTAGACCCTTGAGTCCCTAAACCCTTGACACCCTAAACCCTTGAGTCCCTAAACCCTTGAGACCCTAAACCCTCGCGAACCCCATTAGTTTTGTTGTTGAGCCAGCCTAAGAATAAGAAGAAACTTTGTATTTCTTAATGTTATGGGAACTCTGGGTGGGTGGGTGTTTTTCGATGTTCTAAACGACGAGCCCAAACGAGAAACTGCTCGACCAGGAGCTCTTAAACCCTAAACCCTGAGCCCTAAGCCCTAAGCCCTAAGCCCTAAGCCCGAAGCCCTAAACCCTAAACCCTAAACCCTAAACCCTAAACCCTAAACCCTAAACCCTAAACCCTAAACCCTAAACCCTAAACCCTAAACCCTAAACCCAACTAACCCGGGGGTCGGCTGATCGGAGGGTGCACAGTTTGAGGGTTCAGGATAAGGGTGTAGGGTCTAGGGCTTCGGGTTTAGAGGTTCAAGACCCAGCTTTACTTTGGGGTGTTGGGGTTCAGGGTTGAGGTTCTTGGGTGACAGCTTCGGGTTTCGAGGTGAGAGGTCCAAGGTTGAGAGATGTGGGGGGGGAGGGGGGGGGGGGGGGGGAGGGGGGGGGGGGGGGGGGGGGGGGGGGGGGGGGGGGGGGGAGGGGGGGGGGGGGGGGAGGCGGGGGGGGGGCGGGGGGGGAGAGGGGGAGGGGGGGGGGGGGGGGGGGGGGGGGTGGGGCGGTGAGGGGGGGGGGGGAGGGGGGGGGAAAGGGGGGGGGAGGGGACCCCAAAAATAGACCGCCAAGCAGTAGGATTCCCTGATAATACGGAATTGACTAAGGTACCCCTGACTTCGGAAACCCCCATGTGCAGCTTCGGGGTTTAGGGCTTGAGTCTTTGCATCGAGAGGTGTAGGCTTTGGGGTTTAGGGTTTAGGGTTTAGGGTTTAGGGTTGAGAGTTTTGGGGGGCTAGAGGGCTGCGCAGGAAGTTGAGAGTTTCTGGCGTTCAGCGTGGTGCTCCTTGTAGAGACCCTGCACCACTTCGGCAAATCTTATGGCTGCCTCTTTGGGTGTGGCGTGCTGATGCCTTGGGCAGCGGCAGCAAGAATGTTTGCAGATTTTTGAACCCCAGAACCCTAAACCCCGAACCCTAAACAGCTTGAGCAGTCGGTCTCTGGAAGTATAGGGCTAGATTACACGAGGTTCTGAATGCGGGGTCGAAGGGGCAGAGGTAATAGAATTTAGGGTGTAGGGTTTAGCGGTTGGGCAACAAGATGACCCCTATCATCACCACGTAGTACTTCTAAAGGCTCCCTGGGCTTTGTTTGGTACTTCCCCTCCCTGGACCCCGCTCTCTTCAGGACACTCATGTTTAGACCGGCGGGGGGGGGGGGGGGGGGGGGGGGTGCAAGCTAGTTGCAAGGCTCCTCAGTTTTAAACTGTGTAGCCCTTGCTTCCACTTCATCTTCCTTCTTATTCACATAAAGCATCTGTGATCTCTATGCATCAGGGTTGACATGTTTTAAGGCTGACGGGTTGATGTTTCCTCAGCTCTTCCATGTGAACCAGACATGTGTTTGCTATCCTTGTATATATAGTTGATTTCCATGACTGCAATGGAAACAGGCTGATGTTCAGGAACGGTCTAGATGTTGTTTAGCATAGCCTGAATTAGAAGCTGAATAAGTAGCCTGTTTGATCGCCGCCTCTTGGGATGATTCTGTGGATGTGTATATATATATACATATACATATATATTTGGTTGCTGATTTACTTATTTGTTTACTTGCATGCACTCTCACACACACACACACAAAGTTTATAGGTAGATAGATAGATGTATAACACCTATGGTTCACCTGGGCCTCAAAAAAAGGGGACGCTGCCCCTCTTCATCGCAGGGATACTTTGGGGAGGGCTTCAGGGTTTGTACAGAGCTGCTAAACCCTAAGCCCTAAGCCCTAAGCCCGAAGCCCGAAGCCCCAAACCCTAAACCCTAAACCCTAAACCCTAAACCCTAAACCCTAAACCCTAAACCCTAAACCCTAAACCCTAAACGATGCTAGTTTGGTCCTGGGGAGTCCATGCAAGGCTGTGTGGGGGTTTAGGGTTTGTAGGGTTACAGGGGTTTAGGGGTTATAGGGTTTGTAGGGTTTATAGGTTTCGGGTTTGTAGGGTTCATAGGGTTTATAGTTACGGTTTGAGGGATTAGGTTTTTCGGGTGTTTGGGTTTAGGGGATAGGGTTTTAGGGGCTTAGGGTTAAGGGTTTTTAAGGCTTATTTGGTGGCTGGAAGTGTCGGGGTCTAGCGACGTGGAGGTGCTAAGGGCAAAAGCGCAGGGGGCTGGAAGGGAATGACCTTCACATGCGGCGAAGGAGCAAAGAGTCATCAGCGTGAAATCCGAACATCTCCTCCACCTCTTGCCACGGCTTGTTCTGCCACTCAACCTCTCGCCCTTCCTTGTTGCCGCCTTGGCCGTGAAGACAGCTAAACCCTAAACCCTAACCCTAAACCCTAAACCCTAAACCCTAAACCCTAAACCCTAAACCCTAAACCCTAAACCCTAAACCCTAAACCCTAAACCCTAAACCCTAAACGCCAACCAGTAAACCCTAAGGGTTCAGGGTTTACGGAGGTTGAAAGCCCTTGATCTTTGAGTCGATGAGCTTCCTTCCGTTCGAACACACTGCAAGAACAAAAGCCCATGTCCTCAACTCCCTAGGTCCTAAAACCCTAAACCCTAAACCCTAAACCCTAAACCCTAAACCCTAAACCCTAAACCCTAAACCCTAAACCCTAAACCCTAAACCCTAGACCTAGGGCATGATTAATTGCTTGGAGGTTCATGGGACTTAAGAACCACTTATAACTGGACTTACAACCCTACTGATAATTGGGATAACCCATATAAGGCCCTTTAGGGGTATTGTAAGTAAGGTTATAAGTGCAGTTAGTGATTAGTAAGTACCATGAACCTTCAAGTGGGATGCAGTGATCCCTATTCTAACCCCTCAGGTTTACAGGGTTATAAATTTGAAGATACGCATCAAGTAACTCTCAGAGGATGGTTATACAGCTAAAGACATCCCAGTCCCAACCCAAAACCCTAAACCTTGTAAACCTCTAAACCCTCAACCAGGCCACTGGGTCCGCCCCACTCAGCATCGTCGAGTGTGTTGACCAGCTCGGTGACGATGGAGGGAAGAGCCCCGTTCAGGCTGAGCAAACCTCGGCGGATAACGATTTAGAGGGAAACTAACGGCTTCTGGGGAAAAAATAACTGAACCCTGAAGCCTAGCTAAACCCTAAACCCAACCTGCCTTATTGATGATGGTTCATATATATATATATATGTATAAGAATCTTGGAAATCGTGTTTAGGGTTTAGGGTTTAGGGTTCAGGGTTCCGGGTAGACAGCCGAGGAGCCTTTAGCAAAGGCTGCTGCTGTTTGCAAGCACCGCTGCTCGCGCGATGAAAAAATCCTGGGCTTCCGAGCTTGATGGGTTCAAAGAGGGCATGTTAACGACGACCTCAATAAAAGGGCTTAGGGTTTAGGATTTAAGGGTTAGGGTTTAGGGTTTAGGGTTTAGGGTTTAGGGTTTAGGGTTTAGGGTTTAGGGTTTAGGGTTTAGGGTTTAGGGTTTAGGGTTTAGGTTAGGGTTTAGGGTTTAGGGTTTAGGGTTTAGGGTTTAGGGTTTAGGGTTTAGGGTTTAGGGTTTAGGGTTTAGGGTTTGGACGGTGGATGAGGTAGACATTCGGTCAGTTCTAGCTTCCTCTCCTAGCATAAGCATCCATACACAGGGACGTAGGCCCCATTTTGAGCTACTCAGGCATATGAGGAGGCCACGGCCACAGGCGCTTAGCAGTTCAAACCGTTTAGAGCTCGGGAGCGAAATTAACCCTAAACCCTGAAACCTGAACCCAGCAGGCTCAGGGTTTTGGGTTTAATTAGGGCTTAGGGTCTAGGGGTTGATCGGTAATTCTGGGGTCCTCGCCGAAACGCCCTCAGGAACAGGGCCTTTTAACTTCAACCTCTTAACTTCCACGAGTATGAATGTCCAAGAATAGGGGCACCGCTACTACACCCCCCAGGGTTTAGGGTTTAGGGTTTAGGGTTTAGGGTTTGGGGTTTAGGGTTTAGGGTTTGGGGTTTAGGGTTTAGGGTTTAGGGTTTCGGGACCTATTGGACTCATAAAGAGGCTTGGGGTTCCCTCAGGGTCCATGTACATCATTATATACTTGGGCCCAAAAGACCCTAGAAAGGAAGAACTTTAAGGCCCAAGCATCCCAATTTAGGTACATGGACCCTTAGGGTTTAGGGTTCCGTGGTTATAGAGTCTTTTGAGCTAGAAGGGTTGATTGTCTGAAGGGTTGGGACTTTAGGGAGCTTCGTGATCAGTGCTTCGCGGATGTATCCCTCATGCCGCGATGTGCGCCTCCCCAAAGAACCTCTGAAAGGCTGCAGGTTTGGAGTTAACATCGGGGGTCTACGACTTGGGCTTCGGATTTCGTCCCCAAAACCGTAAACCCTAAACCCTAAACCCTAAACCGCCAAGGCTCTTGACGTCATGCTGAAGCGAAGTATGGAGCTGTGCCACATCCTGGAGGGAAGAGTGGAGCTTCAGAAATCGAAGAGGGGTGAAGCTCCTTGGGGGCCCAAAGGAACCCTAAAAGGGTGTAGGGTTTAGGGTTTAGGGTTGGGATGTTACACCTTATACTAACAGTCCTTACTAGGGATTGTAATAGGGGCGCGATAATCCCTACTAAGGACTGCTAGTATAAGGGGAACATCCCAACCTAAAAGGCCCAAAACCCTTGGGCTTTAAACTTTTTTCAAAGAGCATGCAGAGTTTGGAAAACAACTCCAAACCTTCTCGAAGAGCAAGCAGAGTTGGGGGAAAAAGACAAACCTTTTCGAAGAGCAAGCAGAGTTGGGGAAAATAGCCTTTTAGGGTTGAGGGTTTGAGGGTTTAGGGTTTGAATAGGGCTCAGGGCCGAAGCCCTGTGGTCGAACAGATCTGATTCTGGCAGGACCTGAACAAAAACCTCTGCACACTGAGCGTTTAGGGTTTCGGGCTGAGCAGCCAAAGCCCAAGACACGTAAGCCCTTGCGGACGAAACCCCTTACCCCCCCCCCCCCCACAAACCCGAAAGCTCAATGTCGATCCAGCCGATTCCCATCCTGCAGCAAGAAATGCCCACCTTCCTAGGCAAAGGAGGGTCCCTTCCAAATTAGAGGAGCCCGTTGGCTTTTGTTGGGCTGACCTGGGTTCCTGAAGTATGAACCAAAAACACCCTAAACCCCAAACCCTAAAACCCCAAGAGCTGTACAAGCAAAAAACTGGAGGAGTCCTGCCCGAAGCTACAAATCTGCCTAGTCCCCCAGACCAGACACCAAAACCCTCAACCCTGCAGGCGTGCCAATAACCTTTAGGCTTTTGAGGCCAAGAAATACTCGACCCAAGACTGTCCTAGGAATAGCTTGCCCTTTTTGCTTCTTGGTTTGAAGGGGCTTAATTATAAGGGATCCCAAACCCCAAAAAAGGAACAAGGGCCTACTCGGGGTCCTAGAAAAAAGCGACAAATTGGAGTCCCTGAGCTCGCCTCACCGGCGAAGGTTCGCTCTCGGAAGCGTTGACCGTTCTCCTGCGCAGTGGACGTACGAACTTTATCCTCCTTTGCTGTGGGCTTGGGGGCATTAGGGTCGAGGGTTTCACCAATTTGCTCAAGGAGGGTTCTTGAAGCAAAGTACTTGAAGGTGCATGCGCAAGTAGGTGGGATTGTAGGCGCCTTCAGTCGGGGAATCGTCACAGTTTCCCTACTTAGCAGCCCTATTCCCTAAACCCTAAACCCTAAACCCTAAACCCTAAACCCTGAAGAAGGTCGGCTGCTTCAGGGAATTGAATTCTGTGTGGTGGGTCCTCTGGGATGTCGGGCTCTCGGGGCGGCGTGAAGTTCTTCAGTGGTGATATATATATATATATGTATATCTATATATATATATATCTATATATATATATATATATCATACATATATTGTAATAGATTGCAGTAAAATATATCATATCACGTTGTATCATAATTACTGGGGTTCCGGCTTCTTGTCCGGGACTCTGCACCACCAAAACCCTCAAAAAAAAGCACTACCCCCAATCTAGGGCTCGAACAAGGCTTTGCCTTGGTTGCTTCGGTCAAGTTGCTCGGGTGGACACGGAAGATCCCACAGGATCCCAGTGGAGGCCGGAGGTCTTGACACGCCCCGCCCCTAAACCCTAAACCCTAAACCCTACACCCTGGGGAAAAGAACAAAAAAAAACGACAAAAACTAGACCCAGTCCCAAAACCTCCCCCGCCTGCGAGCCGGAGACCCCCTTCAGCGTCCTCGGCTTCCAGGAGCGTCCAGACCCTAAACCCTAAACCCTAAACCAGCTTCTTTCCAAACAGGCATCTTGAAAGCATCAAATCATGGCTCGAGGTTCTAAACTACTTTTTGCAGAAGCCCATCACAAAGAAAACAAAAGACAATAATCCATAAGGAAGAATATTTCCGACTTTTTTGGGGGGGTTCTTACTCAAATGGTAGTAAAAGGGTTTGCAGGGAGCTTAGAGGCTTTTGGAGAGACTTTAGATGTGTTGGGGTTCTTTGGGGGTTTTGAAGGGGTGGTTGGGGGTTGAGACTTCGAGGCTTGGGTGTTTAGGCCTCCAGGCGTTTAGGGTGTTGATGGTTTAGCCGCTAAATATTAGGGCTTTGGGCGCTCTAAGGGGGGGCTGAGAGGTTTAGGCAATCAAGTTGTGAGGGTCCTAGGGTCCCCATGATGAAGAAAGTAGACTGCAAGAAGTCGCACTGTTCGAAGAAGCAGCCCAGATCCTACCAACTCGGTTTAGGGTTTAGGGTTTAGGGTTTAGGGTTTAGGGTTTAGGGTTTAGGTCTTGAACCTGGGCCCCCTAGGCCCAAGAAACCTCTGCAGCAAGGCTTAGGGTTTTGCAGCCTTAGGCCCACGTATGGCCCCTCAAAACTCCCCCCAAAGACGAGCCTTACGCCTTCCCAAACCCCGCTTTAGGGTTTAGGGTTTAGGGTTTAGGGTTTAGGGTTTAGGGTTTAGGGTTTAGGGTTTAGGGTTTAGGGTTTAAAAAAAAAACCCCTAAACTTACCACTCTGTAGGCCCTAAACCCCATACTACGAGCCTAAGCAACAGCCAAGGTCGTCTCTCTACAGCCCCTAGAGAGAATTCGACTGTTAGACCCGTACCCCTCCCCCCCCCCCCCAAAAAAAAAAAACATGAAACAACAATATATAACCAAATAAACAAACAAAAATATATAACCAAATAAACAAACAAAAAGAATAACAATAATAATCACAACAACAAAAATAATTCCCGTTCTAGAAGACAAGGCCCCTAAAACGTACTTCCCGCCAAAGCGCAGCTCGCCCCCCCACTTGATCTTGAGTGTCAGGGCGGCTCCTTCACCTTCAGCTTGGAGGGATTTCAGGTTTAGGGGTTTAGGCTCAGGGTTTAGGGGTTGAGGGTTTAGGGGTTTAGGGGTTAGGGGTTTAGGGTTTAGGGGTTTGGGGTTTCAGGTTTAGGGTTTAGGGTGTACTACCACGTGTACACCAGCCTACTTAAACCCAGCTTAGGGTTTGGGGCTCCCCCCCCCCCCCTCCCTCCCCCTCCCTCCCTCCCCCTCCCCCTCCCCCCCCCCCCTCCCTCCCCCTCCCCCTCCCCCCCCCCCCCCCCCCCCCTCCCCTCTCCCCCCCCCCTCCCCCCCCTCTGGCAAGTGAGTTCGCACCAGCAAAGACGTTCACAGAGCTTGTCGTAATGATGATGTTGTCTCGGTTTCAAGGGACAACGAAGAAAGCCATAGTAGGTAGTTGTCATCGTTGAACCCTAAACCCTAATTAAACCCCAAACCCTAAACCCTATAAGCCCTAAACGCCCTAAACCTTGAACCCCAAACTGAAAACCCTAAACCCTAAACCCTAAACCCCAAACCCCAAACCCTAAACCCTAAACCCTAAAACCCTTCCAGGCAGGGCGCTAATGACCACCTTCGCGCGGTAGTCCATGCCGGCACGCTTGATGCAGTCTAGGGCCTGACAACTCTTCTCCAATGACCAGGGGGGAAAAAAGGTCAAACTACCTGTAAACCATATTAGCCCTAATCCCTAAACTCTGTTGGGGTCTAGGGTTTAGGGCGTAGGGTTCGGGGTTTAGGGTTTAGGGTAGGGCCAAACTCAGGCTGTAAGGGGCTCTTCCTTTACGACCCCAAGAGCAGCGCTAGGCCTTCTCACGGTGTTTTAGAGCTCGAAGCTCGTTGCTCTGAGTCTCAGGGGAACTTTACAGCACGTGGGGACCATCACACCCTGGAGCCCTAAGGCCTTAAACCGCAATCACGCAGTTGAACGCCCCAAAAGCATTGATTTTTTTGACACCTCGTCATTCGTCCCTGAGATCCGACAGAGAGAGAGAGAGAGAGAAGGAGAAAGAGAGAAAGGGAGAAACAGAGAAAGAGAAAAAGAGAGAAAGAGAGAAACAAATGAATGAATAAATGAATAAAGAGGGAAAGAACGAAAGAACAAGACACATACACATGCAGAAAGAAATACAGAAAGAAAGACATAAATAACGAAAGAAAGGAGAGAGAGAGAGAGAGAGCGCATCGCTCCCTCCCTCTCATTCCGACTCAACCGCTTGAGCTTGTTGCGGTTTAGGGCTTGGCCCATGACCGAAACCCTATAAACCCGAAACCCTAAACCCTGAACTCGGCAAAGGCCAGATTCCATACCCCTAATCAGATTTTTCAAGAGAGTTCCCCCCTCTTCTGCTGCCTTTATAGAGGTGCCAAAAAGATGTGTCGAATCCAAAAGAACGGCAAGGACCACCACCAAGCTTCCGAGTAACTGACCCCCCCCTCCCCCCCTCCCCCCCCCCCCCCTCCCCCCCCCTCCCCCCCCCCTGCCCCCCTCCCCCCCCCCTCCCCCCCCCCTCCCCCCTCCCCCCCCCCACCATAATCCCTAACCTGAAGCTCTGGGCCCAAGCCCTAAACCCTACAAACCCCAAGCCCTGAGCCCGAAACCCTAATCACTGGCCCGAAAGGCCGCTGAAAATACCAAAGTCCGAGCTGTTAATTCCAAGGTGCCTTGAGGAAACCTTCAGGCCTAAAGAATAGGGTTTAGGGTACAGGGTTTCAGGTTTAGGGTTTAAGGCTTGAGGTTTTGGAACTCTGAATCTTAAAGACGCATACCCCTAAAGTTCCTGGGGCCTCCTCCACTTGATGAAGCTTGTGCCCTTGCCTCGGTGGAGGGGTTCAAGTTGGGGACTCAGGTTTCGGGTTAAACCCTAAACCCTAAACCCTAAACCCGAAACCCGAAACCCGAAACCCTAAACCCTAAACCCTAAACCCTAAACCCTAAACCCTAAACCCTAAACCCTAAACCCTACACCAAGCTTGAAACCAACACCCAGGATCTTTGAGCAACAGCTGCTTGACAAATCTGGGTCCAAGGCAGAAGACTGAGGAGTGGCAGTGGTTGGGCACATTGACCCTAAAACCCTAAAACCCTAAAACCCTAAAACCCTAAAACCCTAAAACCCTAAAACCCTAAAACCCTAAAACCCTAAAACCCTAAAACCCTAAAACCCTAAAACCCTAAAACCCTAAAACCCTAAAACCCTAAAACCCTAAACCCTAAACCCTAAACCCTAAACCCTAAACCCTGGTATGGGGTCAGTCTAGGTAGGGCTTCGGATCTACGCAGTACTCGCGAAGGGTGTCAAGAAGGTTCGGGGTTGAGAGTGTCCCAAAGTAGCAGCAGGGGTTGGGATCTGCATCAGCTGTGTTTCTGCCGGCCTACAATTGCACCTCAAGGGGAAACGCATTCTGCCACACCCTCAGCCCGAAACCCCCTAACCTATCTAAACCTTAAACCCGAAACCCTAAGCCCTGTTTCTAAAGAGGACACACAAGGCGACGTTTAGGGTTCAGGGTCATATGTAGCCAAGAGGGCTTGAAAATGCACTCATAAACATCACAAAGACCCCAGCCACACCCCCAGAACCAAAAACCCTCCTAAACCCTAAACCCCGCACACTAGGCCTAAGGCTGCTGTAGACCCTACATCCTCCTAAACCCAAAATAACCTCATCCCTATACCCTAAACTCCTACTCTCTCCATCGTAGCCCGAGTGTCTCGAGCAGCTTTGCCAGCGCAGCCGACAGGCGCTTGAGCTGGTGCTTCTTCCCTTAACCCAGAGGGGTTTAGGGTTTAGGGTTTGGGTCTAGGGTTTGGGGTTTAGGGGCTTCAAGGCTAGAGAGCTTGAAGGGCCTTAAGGGCTTGGGGTTGGTGTTTAGGGTTTATCCAGCGTTTCGGGTTTCAGGTTTGGGGTTTGGGGTTTAGGAGTGTGGGGTCTGGAGTTCAGGGTTTGGGGTTTTCAGGGTTGAGGATTTTAGGTGTTTAGGGTTCCAGGGTTCAAGGTGTAGGGTATGGTTCAGGGGTTTCGGGTTAATAGGTTCCCTGGAGCCTAACCCAAATCCTCATGTGAATCCTGGCCATTTCAAGCCCTCAATCCAAAACCCTGCGAATCCGAACCCTAAACCCTAAACCCTAAACCCTAAACCCTAAACCCTAAACCCTAAACCCTAAACCCTAAACCCTAAACCCTAAACCCTAAACCCTAAACCCTAAACCCTAAACCCTAAACCCTAAACCCTAAACCCTAAACTCAAACCCAAAACCCCGAAAACCCGAAAACCCCAACAAACTCCCAGTGAGGCGAGGCGCGCATGTCGAAGGCCTTCTCCGAGCTGGGGAGGCAGTCCTCTTGCTGGAGGAAGCCGCACAGCCATCCTCCGGGATCTCATCTCCCTAAACCCCAAACCCTAAACCCTGGACCCTAAACCCTAAACCCTGAACCCTAAACCATAAACCGTAAACCCTAAACCCTAAACCCTAAACCCTAAACCCTAAACCCTAAACCCTAAACCCTAAACCCTAACCCTAAACCCTAAACCCTAAACCCTCAACACTAAACCCTAAACACTACACCCGAACATCCTCAAACCAGGTTTGGGTTTACGTGGCTTAGGGTTTATAGTGCTCGGGGTATGGGAGGGCGCGGGCTGCAACCATAGAATGAGTAAGACGTCGTGTGTATGGTGATTGGGGTCTGGGATTTCGGAGAGGATTTGAGGTTTGCCTAAAGGGTCCAAGTACCTATATCGCATTTACTTGGGCCCTAAAGCTACCATGTAGGAGCCCCTTTAAGGGCAAGTATATACTCTGCAAGTACATGGTTCGGGTTCGGGTTAGGGTTTAGGGTGTAGGTTTAGGGTTTAGGGTTTAGGGTTTAGGGTTTAGGGTATGATTTCTAGATGTATGCTCCATGGTCTCGTGCATTTGCCCCTTGCAGAGGCACGGGAGACCCCACGCTTCAGAGTCTCGGGTTTATGGTGACATACGAAGGAACATTGTTGATGCATGTTCTGAATTCTTCCTAGCTTTGGGGAAGTGTTGAGGTGTACCCTAGATCCTAAACCCTAAACCCTAAACCCCAAACCCTAAACCCTAAACCCTAAAACCCCCATGTCCTGCTTGGAAGCAGTTGCTCAAAGTCAGCTTGCCTTTGATCTTCTGCTTCGGCGTACGCTCTCCTGGGACTCACAGGCCCTCGCCCCCCTTAGGGTTTAGGGTTTAGGGTTTATGGTTCAGGGTTTAGGGTTAGGGTTCAGGGGTTTAGGGTGTTAGGGTGACCGCCGCACAAGTTGAACCCTGAACCTGAGGGAGTGGGGAGTGAGTTTACACAACAACCCAAACCCCCCAAAACCTGCCTGCCGAACCCTGAACTGAGGGTTTAGGTTTAGGGTTTAGGGTTTAGGGTTTAGGGTTTAGGGTTTAGGGTTTAGGGTTTAGGGTTTAGGGTTTAGGGTTTAGGGTTTAGGATACCCGCATGGTCATGAACGTATCCCGGCTTAGAACTCAAGATGCGCGCACAAGCTCCCCGTAGCCGCATCATGAGTCGCTCGAACGAACTTGCAGGTGCCACTCGCAACTCCTCTCAACTCTGCACGCGAGTATCCCTAAACCCTAAACCCTAAACCCTAAACCCTAAACCCTAAACCCTAAACCCTAAACCCTAAACCCTAAACCCTAAGCCCTGTAGTAAAAGAGAACTCACCCTAACCCTAAACCCTAAACACTAAACCCTCAACCAAAGTAACGCCCGAAGCCCAAAGCTTGAGAAGCTGAGGCGATGCCGGGCCGGGAGTTTGGGGTTTGGGGTTTGGGGTTTGGGGTTTAGGGTTTAGGGCTTAGGGTTTAGTGGCTTGGGGCTCAAGGTTTGGGGTTTCAAGGTTTGGGCTGCGAATTTCGCGTTTTTGGGGTTTCGGGATTGGGGTTGGGGGGTGTTCTTGTATATCACGGCCTCCAAGTAGATACTCTTTATAAGTGGACTGGGGTGTCGAGAAGAATCCTGTGCAGGCAATCTGACAGGGGCCTATGAACCCTACTTGGAAGCCCTTCTGACTCAGCAAGTAGGGCTAGTAAGGTGGGTTCTGGGGATTCTAAGAGGGGACACTAAGTAGACGTACTGAGTCAAAAGGGCTTCCAAGCAAACCCTAAACCCTAAACCCTAAACCTAAAACTCTAAACCCAAACCCTAAACTCTAAACCCTAAACCCTAAACCCTAAACCCCAAACTACATCAAGCCCCGGCGGCCGTGGCGAACGAGCATGACGACGCAAAGGAGCTCCACGCCATCCACCAAGGACTTCCTCCTTCTTGTGTTGCCCTACTACTTCTAGAGTTTAGGGTTCAGGGTTTAGGGTTTAGGGTTGAGGGTTGAGGGTTGAGGGTTTAGGGTTTGAAGTGCTGGCTGAGTTGTCAAAGCAACCCTTCGCAGTCTGAGTTTTCGACAAGAGGGGTGGAGGGGGGGAGGGGGGGGGGGGGGGGGGCCTAAACCCTAAACCGTGAAACCCCACCAAAAGGCTACCCCCCCCCCCCCCCCCCCCCCCCCCTAAATAGCACTTCACCCCTAGACCCTAAGCCCTATAATCGTACCATATGATATGATAAGATCCAACCATATCATAAAGCAATCATATAACCCTAAACCCTAAGCTTTTAGGGTTGAGGGTTTACCCGGCCATGTGGTTTCGAGTTACCCCTGAAATCCCTGCGTCGAAAAAGCGGCCGTCGGCCTCGAGAGCTTCGGCTGTTGCCGGTTGGTTGGCGAGTCTGACGTCGGCGCAACTGGGAAGGGTGTAGGGTGCAGGGCCTGCAGGGTTTAGGGGTTTTGCCTAGGGAACCCAAACGTACGAGTAGGGATTCTAAGCCTTCCCTCAACGGAGTCGGCTGTTCGTGCTTCTGGGGTGTACAGCATTGCAACTTCACAGGTTTATGGGGTTTAGACCGTTTGTAGGTATGGGGGATTGACTTCAGGGGTTCAGGCTAAGGACTGTGACACTGGCTGAGGTCCAAATTTTGGGGTTTCAAGTCTTTTTTGGAACGACTATTTCCTGAATTAAGAACTCCGCAAAAAAACACAAGATAGTCATCCCTCCATTACCCTGACAAGGAAGACTGCTTCTGTATTTGGAAACAGTTTCAAGCAAGTAGTAGGGCCTTCGCCTGGAAACAATTTCCCTGCCACTTGCGAAGTGGGGAGTGGTGACTTTCATTCTACCCTTGGGATTAGGGTTTAGGGTTTAGGGTTTAGGGTAACCCTACACCCTGATAGTGGGCATTCTTGTGATGCGATGCCTGTGCAGGGTTCATGGGCAGGGTCCAGAACGGAGCTGCTTGGCAGGTACTGCTTAAGCGGGCTTTGAATGAGGCACTGTACATCTGATACTGACCCTAAACCCTAAACCCTAAACCCTAAACCCTAAACCCTAAACCCTAAACCCTAAACCCTAAACCCTGAACCCTAAACCACAGTAGGGAGAGAGCCAGAGCAGGGAGAGCCAGAGCAGGGAGAGCCAGATAGCCAGAGAGAGATGGAGGAAAGAGGAGAGAGTGGAGAGAAGAGAGGAAAGAGGAGAAACAGAGAGAGAGAGAGAGGGAATATATATATATATGTGTGTGTATAATATATATATATATATGTATATATATATATATATCTCAGTAAATAAAGAAAAAGAGTCAGAGTGAGAGAGCGCAAGGCTCAAGAAATCCAAGGAAGTAGACATGGGGCCCCTTGTTGGGGAACTAGACTCAGAATCGAACCCAGAAAACAAAAGCTCACGACTTGAAGGCAAATCCACATTGTTGGGCTGTTGGGCCCATGCTCTCAGATCCCTCAGTTTTTTTGGTTTGCAGTCTAGGGTTTAGGGTTTAGGGTTTAGGGTTTAGGGTTTAGGGTTTAGGGTTTAGGGTTTAGGGAGAAGCAAAACGAGTTGAAAACACCCATGGCACTGCAGGGGACCAAGAGACCCTAAACCCTAACCCCCTAAACCCTAAACCCTAAGCCCCAAACCCGAAACTCTAAACCCTAATCCCTGAACCCTAAACCCTCAACCCTGAACCCTAAACCCTGAACCCTAAACCCGAAACCCTAAGCCCCAAACCCTAAACTCTAGACTCTAAACCCTAAACCCTGAACCCTGAACCCTAAACCCTAAACCCTGAACCCTAAACCCTAAGCCCCAAACCCTAAACACTAAACCTAAACCCTGAACCCTAAACCCTCAACCCTGAACCCTAAACCCTGAGCCCTAAACCCTAAACCCTAAACCCTAAACCCTAAGGCGCATGCACTGCCGAGCCGCAGCGGTCTCGGAGTGACATGCGAGGCTTAAACTGCATCTCCTTCAAGAGCTCATTCCTTGCTGAGGGTTTAGGGTTTAGGGTTTAGGGTTTAGGGTTCAGGGTTTAGGGTTTGGGGCTTAGGGTTTAGGGTCTAGGGTCTAGGGCTTAGGGTTGGGGTTTAGGGTTTAGGGCTTAGTGCAACCCACCCTACACACAAAGCTCCATTTGGAGCACTCGCAGGGCCAACCCGAAAACCGAAATCCGGCGAACCCGCCCCTGGCTCATGCTAAACCAGTCAACCCAGAGTTAAAATCAAACTTGCTTCGTAGATGGTCAGCTTCACAACAGAATGGAATGGGGTTGAGAGTTCAGGCCTGCCACATGCCAAATTTCGATTGCGGGAATGGGGTTTCAAGATTGCAAAGTCGTGCTTATGCCATACTTGTATAGGCCCATAAGCCCTCACATGCGACATACTAGGTTCCCAGTACCCCAAGAGATGAAGAGAACTCGTTTGCTATGTATTTTGGGAAGTTAGGAGTGTGAAGGATCAGAAGGGCACTACCGGGCGTCCTAGCCAAACACTCAAGACTCAGTGGATCTTGGCAAGGAACGAAGAAACAGGGGGTTGCTTACGGGGATACAAGGCACCAAATTTCCCTTGTTCGCGATGAAGGACTAGCACGAAAATGCACTTGCTTGTCCAGACTTTATACGGGAACTAAAGGTTAACCGTTGGGATTCTATAGGGAAGATACTACCCCAAAAAGGTTCAAGGCCACCTACTCTCCTGCGAAAATGCTATACTCCCCTTAGAACCTTACTAAACAAAAGAACAAAATGCTTAATATCCTCTTGGGTTTTATATCAACAAAAATTCCAAGGGGGGATTTTGAATGCAAGTCAGGCTCACTTATTAGGGGTAATATAGGGATTATTATCATTTTTGATTCTTTTGGGGTTCTTAAGCAAATAGTAGTAGAACCATAATTATATATAGGGATTCTTATATTTTGTGTATTCTTTTGGGGTTCTTAAGCAAAGAGTAGTAGAACCATAATGCCGGTCAGGAGGCACAACATCGCCAAAGTGGTCGATGATCCCCCAGCGCGGGACGCCCGGCCAGAGATCCTCATGAGAGAGAGGCTCTGCTGATGGGTTTGTGGTTTAGGATCGAAACCCAAACCTTAAAGCCGTAAAGCCTAAACACCCAGATACCGACCAAACCAGGAGGAGAATCAGGGTTTGGGGTTTAGGGTTGGTTGTTCGGGTTTGAGGTGAGAGGTGGTTGAAATGGCTACTACAGGAGCCACATATTTTCGGACGCTACAGCTTCCAATTCAACCCACGTGCCACTCTCAATACTCTCTAACCTTCCCGAAGTGCCCATCGCAACCCCTTGGCCCCGAAACCCCAAAGCCTAACTCCTAAACCCTAAGCACTAAACCCTAAAAAATAAACCCTAAACCCTAAACACTAAACCCTAAACACTACACCCTAAACCCTAAACACTACACCCTAAACACTAAACCCTAAACACTAAACCCTATAGAAGCGTCTCAACCAAAGAGCCCCACCCCTGAACCACAAACTGACCTCCAAGATAAGGCCAAGGAGCGGTGACCAAAGACTCCTCGCGGCCTGTGCTTGATTTCTCTTCAGGTTTAGGGTTGAGGGGTTGGGGTTTAGGGTTCAGGGTTCAGGGTTCAGGGTTCAGGGTTTAGGGTTTAGGGTTTGGGTTTAGGGTTTAGGGTTTAGGGTAAGTTTCCGGGCTTCAGGGCCCTCTAGGGCCCTCACAGGTTGAGCTTTGAGAGCTCGAGTTTTTTTTTTTTTTTGTTTGGGGGGGGGGGGGGGGGGGGGGGGGGAATTTGGGGTTACCGACTTCTTGGGCTGACAAGGGTTTAGGGTTTAGGGCTTAGGGGGTTTAGGGGATTTTTGGGGGGATTCGTAGGGTTGAGGCGAGGGCAGACTGATTGGAGCGTTGGGCTTCAGAGCTTCGGCACTTGAGAGCATGAGGGTTGAGGGTTCGAGGGTTTCGGAGCACGGCTGAAAGACTACCTAGGATGGCCTTTAAACCCTCTGAAAAATATTCCTGCCTATGATCCTCTGAACCCCAATAGGGGGAAATTTTACATGTCCCAAGGGCCGAGCTCGCTACGAGAGAGTTTGCTCGTCCAGCCGATTGCTGCACATGCAGCTTGTCTGTAGGAGCAATGTGTGCAATATGGCATGACACTGCTCGCTCCACCTTTTCTTGTCAGCACGCTCACCCCAGACCCCCGGGAGGATCCAAAAAGTAGAAGCCCACAAATAGTACCCTACTCTGCTATTCGGCCATTTTTAGGAACCCTTAAAGGGGATCTACTTTGTGGATCCTCCAAGGGGTCTGGGACCTGAGGCAAAGTTACGTGTCTTGTTGCAACTCGCAAATGGCACAGCCCGACCGCCAGGAGACTCCACACACACATCGTGAACAAAACGATAGCATTTTAGGGTTTAGGGTTTAGTTTAGGGGTTAGGGTCCACTCATCCTGATGCCTTCAGACCAACACGTTTAGGGTTTAGGGGATTCAGGGGTTTGGGGTCCACATCCTGATGCCTTCAGACCAACAAGATATCAAGAATAACTCGGCGGCCGGAAACTTCGCGATCGATACATCTAAGCCCGAACCTAAATGAGCGGGCATGGCCCTTACAAAGGACAGTGAGCCGCTGACAAAATTGGGATGTGCGGCACAGGATTTGCTTCAACTCCAGCTGCTCTGGAAAACTTGCTCGCCTTGCAACTCAAGCCGCAATGCAGAGCTTGCAGCTGGGGAGTAAGCCCATCAGACAGCAAAAGCCTTGCAGTTGATCTGCTCTTGCGCAGGCTCTTGGGCAGGCTCTGGCGCAATCCTGCGAAGGGTCTCAGGCAGGGTCTTGCGCAGGGTCTTGCGCAGGGTCTTGCGTAGCGTCTTGCGCAGGGTCTTGCGCAGCAAATTGCGCAGAGTCTTGCGCAGGCGGGGTCTTGCGCGGGCTCTGCGTGGGCTCGTGTGTAGGCTCTTGCGCAGGCTTTTGCGTGGGCTCTGGCACGGGCGCTTGCACAAGGTCTTGCGCAGGCTCTTGCGCCGGCTCTTGCGCGAGATCTTCCGTGGGCTCTTGCGCAGGCTCTTGCGCCGGCTCTTGCGCAGGCTCTTGCGCAAGCTTTCGCGAAGGCTCCTGCGCCGGCTCTTGCTCTTGCGCAGGCTCTTCACAGGCTCTGTCAGACAGGCGTGCACTTCCATCAAGGAATCGCAATTCTCGGCCAACATTTGCGGGGCTCTCGAGCCTTCCCTGAAGAGTTTACCACCCACACTTTCTGCAATCGTCTCGGCTTTGCTGCTGGCTGCTTGAACCTCCGCATAAGCCTGGTGCAAAGCGTTCTTGGACAAGGCTGCGGCTTCTCGCAGGCTCTTGGTCACTTTGCCGTTTATGGTCACTGGAGTGTTTGGGCCGGCCCGGCGTGTGTCTCGAGCCAGATCCGCCAGGCTCGCGCGCCCGCATGAGGCGACTATGGACTTGTTGACCGCAGAGTCCGCGGACTCGACAAAGTTTACGGGTGTCATGCCGGTTTGAACTGCACTGCCCGCGCTGCAACCTGCGGTAACACATCCGCCAACCGCCTTGACTGCGTCGCCCTTGGCAATTCCCTCTACGGAAGTGCAGCAGGCACTGACGCTGGAAATGGCTCGGTAGGCCACTTCAGCTGCTCTTGCTTGCTTCCCCGTTTGCTCAGCAGCCTTTGCAGCTTGCGCTACCACCCGTGCTGCTTTGGTAGCCTTGGCTGCCTCGTCGACAGTCGCTCCCTGGGATGCTAACTTGGCAAGCTTTTCAGCCTTGTTCCATGCTGTAACATGCCTGGCACGGCTTACATTTGCAAAGTTCTTGAGCACACCGGATGCGCCACCCGCCACGCTTGTCAGCACACCAAAAGCCCCGGAGCAAACACGCCAACCATCGTCTCGAAGTGTGCCATGCGCCATGTCGTTGCAACCACCCACGGCCCCTGCGATGGCCCCGCAGATAATGACAGCCGGCGCCGCCTCAACGGCGACAACCAAAGCGCAAAGTCCACAGACAGCGGTTGAAAGCCAAGACACTGCTTGGTCTTGGAAATGGACCTCCAAGTGCACCAATCTGCACTGCTGGTGACATTGTGGGCACTGCCGCACAAGGCCTTGCCATCCCAGATCGTCAGGGGTGCAGTCTGTGTCCATCTCCACCGTCTGATTGCATGCCGGGCACTGGCACCACAATGGCATGGCCTTCTGCCTGAGTCCTTTCAGATGCTCGGAGCTTGAGCCAACGGCTCGGCCGAAGCATCCGTCCTGCCAAAAACAATCCAGCAACTCATCCTTAAGACTGGCTCAATATGCTCTACTTGAAGGCTAAACATACATGCGGGCGTCATCCCATTTCAAGTTCTTCATTCGGTGCACCGCAGATCTATCTAGATTCCAGGCGAAAGATTGCAGGCCTTCCTACATACAAAGACCTCTGAATGCTGTGAAGCCCTAAACCCTAAACCTGAAACCCTAAACCCTAAACCCTCAACCCCAAACCCTAAACCCTAAGCCCAACAGGCAGCCCCTCGGTGGGAAAAACCTTCTTCACCGAGGAGCCATTGACAATGGAGCGATAAAACGTGATTCCAAAGATCGTCTGGCCGAAAATCTTCTGAAGCTGCGCTGCAACCTCCTTCTCCTCGGGGGCGGGGGGAGTTAGAGTTTAGGGTTTACAAGGTTTAGGGTTTGGGGTTTAGGGTTTAGGGAGGTTTTGGGCTTCAGTTTTAGGGAAGTCTTCGAACTTCGAACCCTATTCTAGGAAAGCAATCGACGGGGGGACGCGGATTGTCCAGAGACGTCGGGCTTTGGGTTGAAGCTTTAGGCCCCAGCAGGCATGCCTTCACCGCTTGGGTTCAGTTTAGGGTTTAGGGTTTAGGGTTTAGGGTTTAGGGTTTAGGGTTTAGGGTTTAGGGTTTAGGGTTTAGGGTTTAGGGTTTAGGGTTTAGGGTTTAGGGTTTAGGGTTTAGGGTTTAGGGTTTAGGGTTTGGGGTTTGGGGTTTTGGATTTTGGGGTTTAAGCAAAATGCCTCCGCGTCACACTGAGTTCCACGTGGCCCCAACCTCCCCACGCCTCTCAGCTCTAGACCTTCTCAAACCAACCGAAAACCCAAAACCAACCCTAAACCCCAAGCCCTAAACCCCAAACCCTAAAACCCTAAACCCTAAACCCTAAACCCTAGACCCCAAAACCTTATACCCTAAACCCTAAACCCTGAACCCTAAATCCTGAAGAGCCCAAGGCGCTTTGAGGCTCAAGACGCAGCTGTGGCCATTCCTTAGTAACCCAGCGACCATGTTATAATAAGGGTTACTTTATAAGTAAACCCTAAACCCTAAACCCCAAACCCAAAAACAAAAACGGGTAAAGGGCACCACTGGGCTCCCTAGATTCTGAATGGTGCTGGTCAGCTCGGAAATGGGAGCGTCGTCCAGCTCTTCGGAGGAAAGGATCGTGGGTGAAACTACGCAGTAGCCGTAGTACCTGGGTTTAGGGCTTTAGGGTTTAGGGTTTCGGGTCTTAGGGGTTTAGGGTGTAGAGTTTAGGGGAGTGGCTGTAGTACCTGGGCCAGGTCTGAGGATTGATGGAGGGTCTTTAGGGTCTTGGGGTTTAGGGGTCCAGGGTTTAGGGCTTGGTGAGGGTTAGGGGTCGGGTCGCAGCTAGCTCCGAGTGAGGCTTCTGCAGACTTGGGAGGGGAGGGGGGGGGGGGGGGGGGGGGCGGAGCTTCGAAATTCAGGATCGACCAAGGCATCTGCATAAACCCTAAAGTCCTAAACCCTAAAGTCCTAAACCCTAAACCCTAAACCCTAAACCCTAAACCCTAAACCCTAAACCCTAAACCCGAAATGCCCTCAATCCGAATTTCAGGACCTTGGACGCTCTTCATGGCCATGCTTGAGATAAGGTTCAGGGATATGCAACAATCAAGCTAGGCTCCCCAACATTTGCCTAAACCCTAAACCCTAAACCCTAAACCCTTAAACCGTCTTGCTGTTTAGGGTTTTGGGTTTAGCATTCCCGGGGCTCATGATGATCTTCTACTATCTGCTTAAGATCCACCCCAAAAAACAAAAAATAGAAAGTATTCTTCCTGATCAGCGTATCTAGGGACTATGACCTAAAGCCTAAACCCTAAACCTCTTTTTGGGGTTAGGGTTTAGGGTTTAGGGTCTTAAGCAAATGGTAGTTTTTGGTTCCTGGAAACCTCAAGGATTTTGTCTGGGTCCCTGGAAGCATGGGCTGGCGCCCCTGGGGTGTAAAAAGATCGGCTTCGGGTCTCTCATTGTAGGAATTGTAGGGTTTAGGGTTTAGGGTTTCGGGTTTAGATTCTAGGGTTCTTGAGAGAGGGGTTCAAGGGGGTGTGTGTAACCCAAGGTTCTCGAATACTTTCCACTACCCCCTAAGGCTCCCTAAGCTTGGGGTGAGATGACATGGAGCATGCCTCTACATGACGCAAAGCGCAAGGCATAAGAAGTATGGCACTCATAGTCTGGCGGTTGGGCACAGCGACCCCCAATCTTTATGATAATGCTGCCATACACTAGCCCCCCCCCCCCCCTGTAGAAATGCCTCATCTTACGACCCTCAGTCCTGACAGTCTGAAAGCAACTGAGGCGAGCAAAGGTGCAGCATGCCAACGCACACAACTTGAACTCGGAATCCGTCGCTCTTTGGATACTCCTGCCAAGCTCATGCTGCTGGGGCCAGCCGTGAAGCCGATCTTTCGGGCCTCATGATACCCTTAACACGTCAAACTCAACAGTGTATGGCGTGAGGATATCTTCCAGCTTCGCGTGTAGAGGAGTCTTCGGAGGTCTTTGCAAGCAATAGACTCAAACGTCAAATGCAACCACAGAAGCCTGCACAGAAACCTGCCACCACCCTATGCCTTATAGGGCCTCAGATGTGTGGCTTTTTCGCCACCTACAGCCCACTGTGCCTAAACCGATCAGACCTGTTCATGACCTGTGCATGCAGTCCTTTAGCATGCAGGGTTCACCCTCAACCCTAAGACCCTAAACGCTACACCCTAAGGTGACTTGGAACCATCTTCCCACTCTGAGAGTGTACACGGCACTTGCGTCGGGTTTTGGGCTTTTGGTTTAAGATTCCGGGTTCAGTGGCGAAGTTTCAAGAAGCCATCTGAAACAGCAGCCTGGAAAACTCGGAAAACTTGAGTTAGCATGGCCAGCTCATTTAAGCTCATTCTCGTGGGTTATCGGGGTCGTAGGGTCTGATTGAACGTAGTTCGTGGCAGGGGGGGGGAGGGGGGGGGGGGGGGGGGGGGGGGGTAGGGGTTCTTGCAACCTGAAACCCTAAACCCTCAACCCTAAACCCTAAACCATGGCTCCTGGTAGATATAAGACCCTTCTCGACGAACGGAGCCAGTGTCTTCAAAGGTGCAGATGTAGCGATCATCTCCCGACTCGATCGAAGAGAAAAGTGCTCGCCCTCCACCATGATCCTGTGGGGAAGCTGCAGGGGTCCGTCCGAGGGTTTAGGGTTTAGGGTTTAGGGTTTAGGGTTTAGGGTTTAGGAGGGTTTAGGGTTTAGGGCGAAGGAGGATACCGTTCGTTCTCAGGGTACTTATATGGGCTCTTAATATGGTCCCTTACCTTCTTTAAAAGGATCTGAGGTATGGGCCCTTGGGCTGTATAGGGTATATAAGGGGTACATCCAGGGTCCCAGGCTCCCCTTTTAAGTGCCTGTGGAAGCTACAGGGAACCATTTGAGTAACCTAGGGTTTAGGGTTCAGGGTTCAGGGTTTAGGGCTTAGGGTTTAGGGCTATAGGATCCATCTTAGTAACTCAGGAGCACACTGAGTAAACAGTGTGTTTAGGTACATCTTGTTTTTCTTTGTGGGGTTTGGAAGGAAGCCTCATGAACAAAAAAGTTGGCTGAAGACCTGCAGAGTTGTACAGAGGCTGAGCAACCTTAGCTTTCAAGAAGCACTGACCTCTGCATGAACCTCGGACTAAGTCACCCACAGTCCTATGACGACCCAGAGAGACATAGGAAAAGCAAGGCAATTACAGGGAACCACGATTCAAAAGGAAGGACGGTGTTCATGCTTGGGACTTAGGTGTTAGAGTTGAGGGTGGCAAGTCGCCCCATGAACCTGCTGGCCGCACCCCCTGAAACTCAAACCGCCTATGCCCTCTAAACCCCGTGAGCCTCACCCACGTTTGAAAGCCTTAAGCCCTAAACCCTATACAGGCCCTAAACCCTGAACCCTGAACCATAAACCCTAAACCCTCTAAACCCTAGATGGAGTCCTACACCTTTGACCCTAAGAGCCTAAAACCCTCAAGCCTATAAGCCCTTAAGCATGCGACCTGGGGGTGGTACAGGTAGATTTCTCTGTCGGAACGCTTGACCTTGCCGGCTCAGGGTTTAGGGTTTAGGGTTCGTGGTTCGGGGTTTAGGCTAGGGTTTAGGGTTTGAAGTTTAGGTAGGGTTTAAAGTTGAGGGCTTTGAACCCAGCACCAACAAGTGTAGCAGCTGGAGTACCGAAAGGAAGTGGGATGATATGGGGCGTCGAAGCTCCCTTTTTAACCAATACTGTTTCTTTAGTGGACTCTGAAAGAATCCTTCCCAAAGGGCCCACTTACCCATCTAGTAGGTACTTGGGCTCTGTCAGTGGGTGTCGAGTTGGCTTACCTAGCGGCTATGGTTCGGAAACCCTCTTTGTGGTGGGGTCATCTGGCGTTGGGGTGCTTGAGCTGCAGATGGTTTCTACAGGGCACATTTGCCACCGCCTAAAGCCCTAAACCCTAAGCCTATGACCTCCACCTCGAAATCAGCCCCGGCCCACCCCACCCCACCCCCACCCCACCCCACCCCCACCCCTCCACCAACCCCTCTCGGCTTCAGGGTTGGCCACCCAGGGTTGGGCTTGGAGTTTCAGGCTTTCGGGCTTT